ATTAAACATGAATGGTTAAACTACCTCCTCAGTCAAAAGAACGAGGTTACCGATCTTTAAATTCTAAGCTAACCAGTGATCTTGTATTATTATTTCTGATTTTTTTAAAAAAGTGCCAGAACCGGTCTTTTGTATTTACTAGTACGGTTTTTACTCAAGGCGCTGTCGTAAGGAAGCTCTTTCATCGTTATAAACGTATGTTGCTTTTTACCTGCTGCCAGTGGTATTCCATATATTTCAACCCTCATACAACAGTTTCCGTAGCGTTCTTGAGGAATGAAACGTAAACGCTTAGCAACAAGCTCACTGCATAAAATTTGTTTTACTGTTTCCTTTCGGTTGAAATTTCCTGAGAATACCTGTAGATGCAAGAACATCAAATATCAAACGTTGTTTGCACATTGTAAGCAGACCGCCAAAGGGAAATAAAGAAATTGACTTTATACCTTTACCTAACTCCTGCAAAGTTTCCCCCACCCAAACGAAGGTTACCATCTTTCTTATTCCATTTACAAAGTATTACGCTATCGAAATTGCTGATCTTAGCAGAATGCAGGACGCGTGTCATATATGAACTTTGTAATAGGCCTTGCTCACCATAGAGTCTCTTTAGCTCGGGGGTTAGAGCATCGGAGCGCGGAATCCGAAGGTCTGAGGTTCGATTCCTAATGGTGACTCAGAATGTTTTTTTCGTCCCACACTCGTGACAAGACAAAATAACAACTTTCTCTTTTCTATTTAGGAAAGGTACATTTTTTCTTGGGGGGACTGGGGAATTTCGGTATTTTTTCCGAAAAAAGTGTTGGCCTTGCCTTACATTTTAATAGAAAAAACTCCTGACCCCCACCTTTAGCTAGGTGACTAAAAAAAGTGCGACCCTCCCGTTACTACTACATGGTATGTTTCACACAGTAGACACCTAAAAAAATTTAGCTTGTGAACGTTAAATGTTTGAAAATAAACATATCTCGATATTGAATGTGTGCGAGCTGAAACAAGAAATTGCGAACAATCCGCAGTGTGGGATATTTACGTTTTATTGCTGAATTTCGAATATGGAAGTCTAAACTTTAAAACTTTGTAAGTCCTTCTCCAGCTACACCAACTCCAAAACCCTATCTCGATTACATTAAACTTCCCGACATTCACTACATACCAAATACGAAAACACCTACGAGTGGCTGCAAACCTGATGATTATCAGCCTCGAGCTCAAATAAAAAAGATATTTCAAGAGGGTAAGCTCAAAGCAGGGGATAAAAAGGCAATCAAAGAGTTTTCTGAAAAATACATTGTTTCAGAAACGCTTGTTGCTTAGATTATATTGAGCATCTAACTAACACTGAAATGAGAAAAGATAGGCAGCCAACAGATAATGACAGGAAGCGCGCAGAAAGAAAGCAACAGGAATACAATGACATTGACTGGGAAGATCTCTATCACTGAAACCAGTTGTCACCCCTAAGTATAAGTGAAATTGAACTTTATTACTGTATTAATCACCTCTGACTCAAATTCAGAGTCTTACAGTGACAGTGACAGGGTAGAGTGCATGGATGGATCTAATAGTAACTCTTCAGAACTAAATGACTCAGGAGATCAAGCAGCGGATAGTCAACATGGGCAAGTAGCTTAAGAAACGGTGCCTGAGTTTAGTACGTTTCGGTACGTACAGCAAAGGACACAATCCTGCTAGAAAAATATGTGCCACGGCATAACATACCTATAGAAATGTGACCTAGAACCTGTAATAAAACACCAGACTAAATCAAAGTAAGGGAAAAGAAAATCTTAATCTGTAAGAAAAATGGAAAGCAGCATCACAAAAATTCTCTTTAAAAAATTCTGGAAAAGATGAGGGACCCTCCCCTTGAATAGCTTACAAAGAGGTATCACACTCCCCTTTTGGTGCTCACTTTCACTAATGATCCTCCCGTCTGAGGCCTCAGCCCTCCCCACCCCCATGAAAAAACGTACGTTCCATTACAAAACATGTCGCTACAGACATTGCTGATCCTAGCAGTACGTAGGACGCGTGTCATATATTAACTCGATTGTTTTCTTTGTCTCACGCTCGTGACAAGACGAAAAAACATCTTTTTCTACCAAGTTAGAGTTTGTTAGTGTTTTTTTTTTCATAACACAAAGCGTGAGGCCATATTTCAGTTTCATTCTCAGTTAAAAAGATGCAATGCATCTAAGAACTAAAGCTAGCTTTCGATGTCAGTCAAATGGGGCAATGAGATCCTTTTTATTAACAGAATCGCTGTTAAGGTCGTTTTTCCTTACCTCAGATGCAGATCTCTCATCAGAAATACGTACTAAAGTTTCTCGTCTTTACTTTTGCTCAAGTCTATATAGAATAGCTTGGTTTAACTTGTTTGTGTTTTTTCCTTTGACTCCCATTATGTTTAACCATGTTACTCAAGCGTTATATCGTGCGCTTGGATAACTTGAACAACCTCTCTATCGTAATGATGACAGTAAATTTTTTAACCAGGAATTACACTCTTTTATTATTTATTAGGTTTCCGAAGGTGACAAACCTTCAATATTCCCGCCTCTTGATAGTCTGTCCAATTTGTTCCATCCCTAGATGATTGAAGTGTGTACTTCCTTACCCACTCGTCCCCTTGGGAGTTCCCCTGAGTTGACACAGCACAGATGATATAAAGCTTTTCAAAGTCAACCTGTAGATATGGCTGACTATCATTTGTTGCGGCACACCATGATGATCCTTTATTGTAGTTCAATCGACCATTCTTAGCAGGTGTGTTTGTGTTTAGTACAGAGGACGAACTGAAATCTCTATCTAGGGTGTATCCATTGCCTAGTCCTACGTCGATGTACTGACATCCTGGAACTGCGGATAAAGAAGCATTATTCAACCTTTATCTAAACCCTGATACAGTCAAACCCCTTGGCCTATTAAGCTGACTAATGAAATTTACTTAACAGATGAATTGATTAATAACAAAAGAGGATGAGGCATCTTTTTTTTTGTCAAGAGCAATACGGATATACGGATAACTTTGTTCAAAACTTATTCTATCATATTGCTTTGATCAGTTACAAGACTAACGTTTTGACCATTTCTATAGAGCCCTTTGCAGTGGGCCAGTCGCCTTTAATCAGCTTTTCTGTTAAATGACGATTGATATAAATCTTTAGGAGCTTAAAATGAGAAGTTCATGTAAATATGCCAAACGAAAGTCGATTTGGAGAGCACGAAAGATGCGCAAGGGTTTCTGGAGGCGCAGCCAGGAGCAACTCTAGCTTCTTGAAACTCGTTCTTCATATCCCGACATCCCGCGTACCTTATACATCGATGAACGCACGTTGACGCATGAATTAGTTGTTAATTTGAGAATGTACTACACTGAATGTTTAATGATTATCCCGGCCACACCCAGGAACCTGTTTCCTGGTATGAGAAAAGTAATCATCTTTTAATTACTATTGCATTATTAACTCACATTTTTCTTTGAAAATCTCAACCCTAAGGCAGTTTCCATGACGCTGGATTGGATAAAATCGAAAGTATCTTGCATACACTGGCAGTGGTAACTTGTGCTGGTCGATTGCAAAATCGTAACCAAAACTCTGAAATTCCTTTGAAACAAGAATGTGATAAATGGAAAAAATATAATGTCAATAGTGCTTTTTTTTTCGACGAAGTACAAAGTTTCGTAATTAATACTAATCGCTATTTGGTGGCCATTTCCTGATTGTTTAAATAATATGTCCCAAGCTATGTAAGTTTAACTCATTGATATTGCTATTTGTGTTTTGTTTTTGCGTGGGTGTGTGTTTGTGTATGAGCCTGTATAAATGAATTAAATTTTGTAATATTGTAACCCCCCTTGATAAGCCTAGGTGCCTTTGAGGAAAGCAATGACAAACATGTTTAAACAATAACAACAAAAAAAACAAAAACAAAACAAGATAAACAAGGTGGAAATAATATGTATTTTTCAAAATTTTACCCACCACCAAACTGAAATCAAAAACTTCTTTTCATGCATTACAATGGAATTCTTACCATTTCTTCACCACTTTCATCCCGGTAGGTTTCCCAGATTGATTCATCTAAGGAATAAGACAGTGTGAAAGCTTTAACCCTTTGGTGACCTGTTCTTTTTCCTTGGATAGCGACCCCGCATGCTTGAATTATTTCTCCGATGTCAACTTGAAGCCATTCACTGTCACTGTCAGTCTCACGCGAACACCAAGCACCGCCTCTGTAACTGTAGAGACGACCATGGACCGCCTGGTGCAGACCGTGGTGACTGGAAGATGATGTTATCCGATTATCAGGGATTATTCTGGGATTAGCAACACCAACAGGATTCATAAAGCAATCTGTAAAAACGGATTTGTTGTGATGATTGAATTCAAGTTCAACCAGAAAACAAGAGAATATTGAATGCTCTCATTTTTATATAGCAATTGTAAGGTAAAATAATGATTTTTAGCGGCCATGAAGAATTTACTACGGTAGAAAGTCATTCTTCCATTTACCGTTGGTCTTTGCCCGAAGTGTCAGAGAAATAGTTTGTGAAAATTAATTGCTAAAAGCAACTTTCTCGGTTAAACCGTTGAAGAGTGCTTGTCTTTGCTTTACTTTTGTTTAAAGTAAACTACCACATGTTTTTACATACCTAGCGACGCGCATGAAACGTGAGGATATTTAGTACTCTGCGAGAAAAATGATCAAACATTAGCAGACGTGAATTGACAGCATCAAAATGCGAAGACCCTCAAGCCAGAAGTCATTCAAGAAAGATCAAACGTTTTTCTCAAGAAACAGAACTGGCTTCTTATGAGGGTTTTTTTTAAAACCTGATTACCTGTACTTACACATTATATTCTGTATTTTGAATCATTTATTGTAATATAAGTAGAATTAGCAGGAATACTCACTAGGAATACCAGGAGCATTAACTGATGAAGAAATAACGCCATGATCTCTCAAACTTGGAAAACCTGATCAGAACAAATGTTAAAACTAATGATAGTTGAAAGGAAGTAGCAGTGATTTAAAAACGATTATGCGCTTGGCTTGGAGTACGTTGATGATCCGATATTTCAAACTGCTCTGACGCCTCTTCAATGTACTTGTAAATGCTGCCTGCTGAAATTTTTTTACGTTTTACAGGCTAATGGGAGTCAAATGCGTGATGTTAGAACACTTTGAAAGTTTGATAGTTCTAAGAGATTCTCTTTTTCTTCACAAGTGTTCGCAATTATTTAAACACAAGAGTAATATTAAAACTCGCTGTTTAACGCTAGTGGCACGAAATCAAAATGAAACAATTTTCACCCCGCCCTCAACATTTCCTGTTTCTAGTAACACAACGAGCATTGTTTTATGATTTACAAGGTCATAGGTTGAAGTCATGCAAATAGTTTGTACAAGGCTGCTGATAAGTTATGAATAAATGGGTTAAGTTCCTAAAGAAAATGTGATGCTACTTCGTTGGGGAAGTCCAATAAGATAAGTTGGTTTTGATTAACAAAGTTGATAGTGTAAATTGGCCCCCCGTAAAGATTTTTAAAGCTGACGGTTCAAGCGTTCGCCATTCGCTCGGCAGATTTCTATTATCGAAGCAATGCTTGATACTTCAGACTGATTTCTGGAGAATCTCTGGCCACCCTTGAAGAGGAGGAAGACGTAGCTTATTTCTCACACGTGTGGAAAGTTAATTTTTGGATACCTTACTGACGACAATTGAAAGTATCTGGATATGTAGCACATATCGAAACATGCTTCTTTAGACAGCTATTTAAATAGTGTTTGTGCAATCATTAAAATGTACCTGTGGTGCATTTAGTACTATAGCAACAACTACTTGCATCAATATAAGTAATATAGTGTATGACTACTGAATGATGTAAAGATACTTTAATTATGTTAAACGATTGTACTAAGTTATTTGGTAGATGATCGTTAAATAAAAACCGGGTAAAGAAAGCAATAGTAAACTGAACCACTAAATAATGTACAGTACCTTTCCTGTTCAAAACTTTTTCAAATTAAACAAGGTACGCAGTCGACGTGAAATTATGCCGTAATGAAAGAGAGTTTTATGCCGGTGTAATGTGTCTGAAGTTTCTTGTGAGCTGATGTTATTTTGAGATTGCGTACAAGAGATGTTGAAAGTAGAGTGTACTAGAGTAGCAATATTCTGCTTCAATTTGATAACTTTAGCTTGCCAAGCGCGAAGACGGAAAATTTTCTGGCAGGAGTGGAGTCTTAAGGAGGAAAAAAAACCTACTTCAGGAATCCATGGTTACGAATCCGACAAAAAAGAGACAAGTTTTGTTCAATACATATGTCTTGTGGTTAGTAAAGAAAAAATAGGAAAATCTGCGAGACAGGACACTTTGAGTGACCGAGTCTTAAATAACCACCGTCTGATATCAGCAGAACACGAATGGATTTTCGATTCGAAGCTGCCTAAAAAGTTCTGTTAATCCAATATGCACATATACGTCAAGCTTTGACATTCAAGATGGCTTAGAGGGGAATTGAAAGCTCCAGGATAGATTGATATCTGCACAACCTGTTGATATTTTAGGTTACTGCGTAATGAAAGATATTAAACTAATATACCCCATTCATACCAAAACTTACGTGTGTTTTACAGCTGTTTGGTCAAACTCGGTTTTCTTCGTGGGAGCTGTTAAAACTGATATTGGTCGGCTTCAAATTTAGCAAATTAAAAATACAAGTTACTAACCGAATCCTATAGAAAATTCACTTTTTCAGTTCTCTATTTCTGATTTTCATTCAGCTAAACCTAGCTTAACTAAACACGTTTTTTTGGTGTGAATCATATCGAGATAACACACTCAGCCGATATAAGTTTCTCCAAACTTACATGTGTATTCCCATATCACCTGAAATAGTGACTAGAAGTTACATGACTACTAATAGGAATAAAAGAGTCACAAGGCCTTCAGTTATTAAAGACAAAACTTTTTTTTTGAATAACAACTAAAAGATTACGATTACTGCATCTGTCATCTTGGCAAATTGAGCTCGGGCATTGATTAATCTTAACTTGGAAATGGCCGTCTCACTAAAAATTAATAAGAGTATAACAAATAAATGAATAGTTAAATAAAACAAATAGATGACTATATACTTTAAGAGTCTGCGTCATCTCACAAGAAAGAAAATGGCGGCCTGTCCCTTCGTGTACCTGCAGGCTGACCTGAACATACCAGAAGGGTTGATGGAGAACAAGACTTCGGAGTCTTTCGCCAGTCTTTTTTAAATAAATCATAACGAAAAGGTATCATAATTAAGTCAGACATTGAAAAAGTGCCGAAGTATCTTGGCTAAGACACTGTAGTTGATGTCAAGATAGTGACCAACATTGCTACCATCATATATTACTGCAACAACTTGAATTCCCCAAAACATCATGCAATATGACCTTACTTCGGACGAATTCAACAACTTGTTTCTTTCAAGAGCTTCTAAAAAAAATTTGTTTTCAACGGAAACTGATAGAGAGCATGCAATTGTATTTAAAAGTGAGTTGCCTCTAACGTCATGTGTCATTACCTCAAGGGAATGGTTTACACCAAGAGATTACAACCTCTTGTTTACACCAAAATTTTCCGAAGGAGGTCTATAAATAAACCTATCGCTATTACTGAAGACGGAATTTGCATCTCATCGAAAAATAATGAAATAAATTCCTGTGTGATATTTGTAATCCGTAAACGCAATCAATATTTAGGTATCACGACATTTTAAACTAGGCGTTTCTTATTTCATCTGTGAGAAAGAAATAGAGGAATTTTTTGGTCCATTAAAAGAGAGGTTCAACATTAGCACTGTTTTCAATTATAATTAGTGTCAAAGTATCCTAAGTTTGTTTTGGTTTGCTTTACTCGGCCTGTTTTGGTCTAGATATCTCGGACTACCCTCTCGGCCAATCGGAAGCAAAATCAAACCAGTGGCGACTTGCTCACATGCGGTTTTAGATTGTGTTTTTTATTTGACTTCTCATTGGTTTCCCGTCCATTTGGCTTCGTTCTCATTGCTTGTGGTAACTTTGGCTATTTGAGTTTTCGAGACACAATATAAAAATACGCAAATATAAAAACTGTGCAATTTTTTTTGGAATTGAATTTTTCTTTTTGATTCATTTCGATTGGACTGATGCATTGACTCTCGCATGATTTGCGCGCCATTTTTTTTTTGTTGATCGCAAAGATTTTGCAAAGAAAACGGCTGAACGTTTATCATACTCAATTCAAAACTTTGAAGATATTCACAGAAGCACAGGAATCAGTGATACATTTCTGTACCTATGTTAAAAGCGACTTAAGAACATCAGTTTTTAAGATTCCCAACATTTATGAGTTTCTCTACTCATATGACTCCTGGGCAAGTCTTGTCTGATGACTGCACGATCTACGATTCTAGACATGTAAGTACAAATTATCTGACAAAGGGACACCGACGTGCAATCAAATACTCAATAGCGAGGTTTATCCGTACTGCAAGGCCTCCCCCACTGGCCAACTGCAAGACTGCAGTTCCCCCCAAAAGCCCCCAACCCCACGTCCTGTTTAGCCTACGTGTAGCTGTACCCTCCCCTTCAAGGTGAAACAGAAGGGAGGGTGGGTCCCCTCGCCTCTGTTTCACCGTGGGGGAGGGGGGGGAGTACGGCCACACGAAGGCAAAGCCCTGTTTGGAGACTTTAAACTTGAAGTGTATAATTTTACCCAATTTGGGTTCGTTTTGGTGAAGGTTTGATAATAACATTAAAAGTTTGGTATCTTTTTCACTATGATTGGTACGAATCTGTTTAACAAACTGGCAGGTGAAATTTAGTGGAATACACTTTTCAGAATAAACGGCACTCTTTGATAAAATGATTCACTTATTTTCCAATAAAACTTACTATATCAAAATTAGCTTCCCTTTTCAGTCAAAATTGTTTGTCAATGGCTATATACAATACTGAAACAATATAATATTTTTGATCCCGATATTGCCTGTGTTGTGTTTTATCAATGGTGGATTTGCGATTTCTAATATTAACCAAATGGCATACTATGACCTCAGCTATAAAAATATGTTAATTTATAGTTCCCCAACTACAAGTTCTCCCAAGTACTTTCAACTTGGACATTTTTACCGTAAATTGCACAACAGAAACTGAAGGCCTTCAATGAGAAACTACTCACTACCTCAAGCCGATAAATAACTTTTTAATCCTCTCTTTTCTCCCTCTCAAATCACTTTGGTTGACAAAAAAATATTGGTTTCAGAATGAATTTGAATAGGTATTAGTGTCATTACGTTAGTTGACAAGCGGCCTAAAAACGGTCTGCAATTAATTTTAATCGTTCAAAAGAAGTACCTTGAAAGTTAAAACGTGAGGCATTTGGTTACAGTTGAACTAATTGATGGAACTTTCATTCATTTAATTCATTCATTTCATATCTGAACGTTCTCTAACAATTTGTTCGTAGTGGAAGGGCAAGCGAAGTTTTAATTGCAGTTCTAGAACAAATATACACTCTCGGCGAGTGTTTCCAAGTCCGTTCAATTTGGACGTTTGTGCCGTTTCAACAGAAACTGAAGGAATTCAATGAGAAAAGGTCACATTAAATCCCCTTGAGTCTCGTTGGAGTGTATCACTCGAATTTTGATTTTATGGAGGAAAGACCAGATTTACGCACGCCATTGCAGCAAAAAATGTTTCGGTGAAGCATCTCTCTTTAATTTGCATCACCTCTATTTTAACTACCATTAACTCGCTCAAAAATTGTACAGTTTATGGAAGTTCTTGCCGTATTTACAGCCCTAAATTATTCGGGTTCTTTCGGAAAGAATTTCGTTAAGTTTAAAAAAAAATAAAAATGTTGTTCACCGGCCTTGGTCGGTCCGTATTTGGAAAAAATGCTGGCGAATAACATGTATATCAAAATACAGATAAGTGCATCACACATCGTATTCCCATAACTCATTTTTGCACGTATACGCGAATTTTTTTCCTTTTCCAAAGCCTGTCAATTCCCTATCCAGATCTTCTATCACAAACTAAGGCCTATATTTTGGAATGAATCTTGCGTACAAATCATATATTGTGTACCAGGGTTTTTTGGAGAAACCTGACCGAGAAAAACCTGGGTAAAAGTGACTCTGACAACAAACTTCTAAGCCAACTCAGCAAATTCCTCTTCTCTTCGCTTCGCCTAATGCAGAAGGTTTGACGGGGTATTTTTGAAAATTAAACGAGATTTCAACGCATCGTTTAAGTCCTGATATCCTAAAGAAATGTTTGCTGGATTTCTTTTCCTTTTGGTGAGTTGGTCTTTTGTTTTGTAAGAGGTACTAATCAAGGGTAAATGATCATGATGTTTAAAATCCTAATTGTTGTTTGGAATTTTCATAAGTCTTGGGTAGGGCTGGTATAACACAGCCAGCTGCAATGGACTTCAGATGTTGTTATTTTTTAAAAAGAAGTCATGGTCACATTTGCTCTGAGATTTATTTGTTCAAAATTGTCCTTTTTTACTATTATTGCTCGATCATCGACAGTTACGATGTCACGTCTACGTAGGCTTGAAATTTAATTCTCTCTAAAAGATTCATATCTCTCTAGAGAAGAATTTATAAGTTCAGATTCTTCATCACCAGGCGAATTTTTTTTTTTGAACGACTAACATTTTGGCTTGACAACTGAAACTTTAGAATTAGTTAACTCTCTTGCATCTCCTAGCAAAGGTTTCCTTGCAGTTCTAAATTAACATTCACAGTTTGGTTAGGCTGAAACTTTAGAATTTACAGCCTGATATCAGAAACGTCGTTTTGCACAATCTTTTCTTTCATAAAGACCTTCCACATGAGGTTAATTGAAGTCAAAAGGAAAGGGTTAATAGCAAAAGTTCCCAGCAAATTCTTTCCAGCTTTATGATGATGTCAACCTCGTTACGTACCTCATTACCAGTGTATATCCAGAATTTATTTTTAATTTCTTACATTTCTGACACTTAAAACGGCCATTTTATTTCTGTGAAATGGATGGAAACAAATAGTTCACTTTTTGCAGCACTTCAAGCACTGATTCAGAACATATGGAAAGCAATACGAATTTTAGCTGAATTGGATATTTTTTTAAACAAGTTTTGATCATGATTCAAGACCTATTTTATACAGTGTGTCATCATTCAGTTGTTATTTGTGGTAACCTCTGCAACTGAAATCAGTACAGTATGAACAGGATTCAATCAGCTGTTGAATTGCACTCCCTCCTATTGATCAGCTTTGTTAACAACATGTTCCCAATGAAGATGAAGTACAATCAAGCAGTATTCATTTTCTTGGACCTCATGTTATTAATGCAAGCTTCTGTCAATGGGTTAACTTTAACAAGAAGACCACACATGACTTTCCAAGTATACCTATTAAAATCACTCAATATGAACCCAGATTTGAATGGCCTCCTAATGTTCTAGTTTACTTTGAAGTAGAGGACCAAATGGGCCACTGAAACCTCCCTCTTAACCTTTTAACTCCTGGTTCAAATTTTTAATTCTCCTTACTGTCAACCATGC